CCGGAAGTTTGCCGGAGATTTTGTTTCCAATGACGTTGAGGATCCGGAGATGGGAGAGAGAAGTGATGCACTTCGGAATCTCGCCAGTGATGCCTTTTCAGTCGGCGACGATGAGGGTGGTGAGGCGGTCGAGAGTGCAGATGGAAGGGGAGATTGAACCAGTCATGAACCCTGTCCGGCCGGCTTTTTCGAAGATGAGGTCTTCGGACTCGCCGCGGAGGGAGACGTCGACGACCCAGCTGGGCGTAGGGTCGCAGTGAGTGAGCTTGTTGTATGTGTCTGTTAGTGTTTTTATTGATGAGAATGGAGCAAGGTGAGTTTCGAGCTAGAAAAGCCATGGAGGTTGGTTGAACTTGCAGAGAGAGAGTAGAGGTCCGGCGGGCGGTCAAGGCGAGGCTGCCGCCCGCCGGTGAAGCAGAATTACTAGTTTCTTAACCTAGCTCTGATACCATGCTAAAATTCAATGTATTATTGATTGTTGTGTATATTACAAGATTGATATTGTGTATATTGATTACAACTCCTATATATAGAAGAGAAGGTAGCAGATTGTGGTGGTGCTGGTAGGGGGTGAAGTGGAGGTGGTAGGTAGAGTGGGTTAGGTTTAGTGGAGTTGAGTGGGTGTAGTGGGTTAGGTTTAGTGGTACATTAACAGTTACGAAGGCTCATGAAATTAAATTTTATTTCTTTAAAAGGGGAAAAATGATATGGAAATCGACACAAACTGAAACTACTAATGTGGCAACAAAATTTAATGAAAAATTATGTGCGATACGAAACAACACTTCTCAAATTTAGCTTACTGAAAAGAAAATATTGGTGAAAAATCTTTTTTTTTTTTTTTTGTAGATTTGAAAATTAAATGTATAGTTTTCATGCTCTCTTACTTTGATAAAAACCAAAAATTAATAATTAGAAATTTATTGATGGCATTAGCTGTTGATCAAAGCAATATATTCCTCACTCAAAGAATGATTCTTTCTTTGCTTGTATTTAGTTTTCTTTACTTGTAAATATTTTTTTTTTAACAAAAAACCCATAATAATATAATTACCCTACGAGTTAATTCTCTCTAACTGTCCAAAGAAGTAATCTGTTTGGTATGGTTTTTGTGGGAGAAAATTATTTTTTTGGAAAAATTCGTTTTCTTATGTTTAGTTGTAATCTTAAGTGCCATTTTGGGAACTTTCATAAAAAGTCACGTTTTTTTATCATTTTTTAAAAACGCCAGTGGCTAAAAACGCAACAAAATTGGTTTGGAAAGGGCCAAAAACGCAAGTGTGAAATTACAAATTAGGGCCTATGACAAAAAAAAAAAAAAAAAATTCTGATATTGGGTAAGGGTATTTTAGTCATTTTAATTTGATTTGACATTATAAATAAATATTAAACTAAAAAGAAAAAAGTTAACTTTTTACCAATTTCTCAAATCACTTTTTAAAAAACTAAAAAACTTGATAAAAAATCAAAAGTTAACTTTTTACCAACTTTCTAAAATACCCCTAAATTAATGTGCAGCGCCATTGGTGGCAAGGTGGTGACGGTCGCAATGGCGGCGGTGGGTGTAGTGGTGGTGATATGGGTAAATATGAGCTTGATGGCCTGCTAAGTCTGTCTAAACTTGCCTATGAATTATAGGGTTTGGGGTTATAATTTAGTTCCATAGGCGGTGTTTGGGAAGAATTTTTCTTTGATTTTTTTTGTTTTTTTATTAAAAGACAAATTGGTTACAAAATCAAAAAAAATAAATTCAAACAAAATATCACATCAAATCTCATAATTATTTCACTTTTTCTCTTACAAACATCACATCCAACCACAAAAAAATCTAACTATCTTCCCAAATATAAAAAAAAAAATTCTCCAATAATATCCTACAACTAAAAAACCCCATTTCCCAAACACCCACTAAGTTTTTTAGGCCTAACAATAAGTACATGAAGCCCATCCTTGCTCGACCGGCTCACAAACTATATTATATAATATATTTTTATAAATATAAATATTTATGTATATATTTTATATTGTTTGATTTTATTTTTTATAAATATAAATTGTGTATTATTAGTCATGTAAAAAATATGTTATCATTGACCCGATTATAAATTAATCAGATAATTAACACGTTTAATTAAATAAGTTAAATTAGTGTTGGGTTATTTGGATATGAACTTGGGATGGTACAACATGGCACGACTCTTCCCTTAGTAATAAAATGGTAGCAGTAGCAACGAAATTGGTAACAGTGGTAATGATAATGATAGTTATGTTAGTAAAATTTTCATTTAAAAAGTGTTTTTTAATTTTTTAAAATGAAAAATATTTTTGCTCTACATAAATTTAGTTTTGATTGATTATGAAAAATATTTTATGTTGTACTTTCATATTTTATCATAATAAAATAAAATGAAATAAAAACAAAATTGGAAGAAAGTTTCCAAGTAGTTGTGATGAACTGTCCAAAAAAAGCAGTCTTTAAAGCATATCAGCTTCGTCATTCTTACCTGGCAATTTCCTGTCTGCGTTGTGATTGAATCACACGCTTGAATGCATTTACTGATAATATCGAAGACATTATTATCATTTCTTCTTAAAGTTTTGGATAAATTATACTTTCAGCCAAATCTCAAAATAAAATTATAACGGTCAATTTTCTATAATTTTAATCAAATATCAATTTAATCCCATGAAATCGTGATAATCAATTATTTCACTTTTGATCAAATCATATTTTAATCCCTACACAAGTGTTAATGTTTCTCTTTTACTATTTTATTGTTAAATTTTTAACAAATCTAATCATGTTATAAGAATGTGACTACAAAATGAGAGTAAGATATAAAAATCATCTATATTTTTCACCAATACAGAGTTTCGTAATTTTAATTTATGTAAAATCCTAGTTGATCTTTTTAATTGTTCACAAACTGTATTCTGTTTATCCTAATACAACAATAATTTAATATAAATTTTGAGATAAAATGCGTATTGATAGAAAATATGAATGATTTTCTCTTTTACCCTCATTTCGTAATCATATTTTTGTCACATGAGTAAATTATGTTAAAAATTTAAATAGTAGAGTAATAAAAATGGGACATTGACATTTGTGACTATCATGATTCATATATATGGGTCAAAGTGAGATTAGTATTAAACATAAAAGTACAAAGTGTAATTTATTCTAAAATTTAAATAAATTTATAATTTTTATTTATTTGTTTGTAGTACAATATTTATTTGATTTTGAACTAGTAAAAACAAGGGCAAATTAGGTATACCTCTCTCGAGGTTTAGTTAAATTACAGATATTTTTTTGAGATTTCAAAAATTACAGATACCTTTTTGAGATTTATATTTTCATAACAAATTGTTTCTTAAAATTTATATTTTCATAACAATTTACCCCTTAATTTATTATGTAAATAGTACATTTAAAAAAATATCTATAATTTCTCACACTTCAAGCAATATCTGTAATTTTATTAAACCTTGAGGATATATGTAATTTGCCTATAAAACAAAATATAAAAAGGTCCAATAAAGCCGCGTTTGGATCAAATCAGAGCATTGAATACACCGCACGGATTCTTACTTCCTCAATGCCAAAAAATGACTTTCGCTGTAATACTTTTTCTCGGTAAACAAAGAATTTGCCGTACAAGTGAACAACCTTTTCAACGTGTATATATAGGCGCTTCGTTTAGTTTTAGATTTTTTTAGTTATTTTAGTCGATAAATAAAAAATGAAATAGATATTTTAATATTATAAGATAAAATATTACATTTATTTAATTTTTAATTATTATATTTTTTTTTCATAAAAAAATTTAAAAAGTCAAAAATTCTTTTTAAACGAGACTTTTTGATTCTAAATTATAATAATTAAAAAAATTAAAAAGTCAATCACTTGCCAAACCAACCTAGAATTTGACTGCTCCAGTTAAAAGTTAAATTAGCTTAGATGGTTAATATTTTTGATTGATAACAATTATTAAATAAATGATTTTTATTGATAAAAATTTATAAAAACATAATTCAATTAAATTTTTTTATGAATTATTTTTTCAAAAATTTTTATCAGTAAGAATTTTTTTTTTAATAACTCTTACTATCAGAATCTTCCATTTAACATTCTTACCAATCACATATTTCAATTGTTTAGTACGATTAAAATTTTATTGGAGACCAACCATTCCCATGTATGAAATGTGCCGTTCTGGCAACACAATCAGAACGCTGCTTTTTGTTGGCCAAGACCAAAACGCCAAACAGGGCCAAAACGCTGAAATTCCTATTTGGGAAGACCAAAAACGCAACACCCAAAAATAAATAGTAAGGATATTTTAAAATGATGTGATATTTTTAAAAAATATTAAACCAAAAATAAAATAAGTTGATTTTTTATCAACTTTTCAAATCACTTTTAAAAAAGTCAAAAAACTTGATAAAAAATCAAAAATTAACTTTTTACTAATTTATCAAAACACCCATGTTCAAAATGCCCCCTACAGTCTATACACTCAAGTCAGTCATGGTAATTGGTTGGCAGAGCAATGGTGTTAAGCTGTTGCCAGACTGACCACAAAGTGCAAAGCTAGCACATGTTTAGCTATGAACCCACATGGGCTTCAATGGGTTCACACAAAAATGGGTTCCCACCACCACCATCACCCAAAGGTAGCTCATCCATTAAACCAGGCTCGCCCCAAAAAGAAAAAAAATAAATAAATTCTTATTATCAAAATTTTGATTTTAAAAAAAATTAATTAAATATAACCTCATTCTAATCTTTAACTAAAACTTTTAAACAACTTGAACCGTTACCACCGTCGTCACCACTCTTAAAAATATCTTTAAAACACTCCATTATTGTCCTGTCTAAATATCAAGTACGCTCCAACTATAATTAATTTAATTAAGAATAATATTGCTTAAAAAAAGAAGTAATCAATGGTAATAATCTATAATCATTAAATAAATGAATAAATCGATCAATATCCAGAGATTGAATAATTCTCTGTACAGAAACAATATATCAAAATTCAAAACAAACACAAACAAATTAAGAAGAAAAAAAAATGACATGAAATTCAACTATCAATCTAAAACTAAAAATCAATCTTGTGAAGAACCCAAATCGGAGGGAAACGATAACCGCGATTTCTTCATCGGTAGAGGACTCTCCACCTCTTGGTCGCCGAAGAATTGACTTTTTCTCAGACAGTCAACGCTCAAACCCATCCCGAATTCCGGCGACGCCGGGAGGTTCAGATCGAAATCACGGTGGCTCTGACTGGTGGAGCCGGAAGAGATGACGCCGCTGCTTCCGCCGCCGTTGTCTTTGGTGTTGCCGCCGTCGTAGTGGCGGCGCTTGTGGCCGCCGAGGGCTTGGCCGGTGGGGAAGGACCGGTGGCAGATGGAGCACTCATGGGTCCTACCACTCGGGTTGAGGGGGGCCGTGGTGGAGGCGGTGGTGGTAGTGGTGGTGGAGGTGGAGGGTTGGTCGTCGGAGGTAGTAGCGGCGGCGCCGGTGAGTTTGCGGTGACTGGCTTTGTGGCCGCCGAGGGCTTGGTAGGAGTGAAAAGCTTTGTCGCAGACGGTGCACTTGTAAGATGGCTTTGAAGAGGACGGCGAAGAGTCGGTTGATTGGTGGGTTTGGGTGGTGGCGCCGCCGCGAGCGAGCATGATGAGGCAGAGGGCTAAGTACTCTTCTTCGGTTGGTGGATTTTCGGTGCGAGGACGCTTGGATCGCTTCCTCTTCATCCATGGCTCGAGAGAGTGGATATCCATGTCGTCGAAGGCCGTAGTTGGAGAATTCAGAGCTTCGAGAGCCATATCTCAGTGAACAGTACAATTGGGTTTTTAGAGAGCGTCTGTTTGGTTAGAGAGAAAAAGAGAGAGAAAGTGGCGGTGGTTTGTTGGATTTGTTGAGTGAGGGAGTGAAGAAGGGGGAGGGTGTTTATAAGTAGAGAAAACGTGGGAACTTGCATGCGAAGTTGCGTGGGGAATGGCGCTGGCGGTGTTGTGTAGATCATATAAACTATTTATCAATAATTGTACCTAATTTGAATTTTAATTGAAAAAATTGGAGTGTATGGTGTATTATTGTTTTGTATCTAGAGATTGTTTGAGATATTTTAAATAAGTATGTTTTTTGATTTTTTATAAAATATGAATTGAGTTTGAAATAATTTAGTAGAGAGGTTATGTGACTTATATAAGATGATGTGACTTAAATAGGATAGTGACTTTTTATTTTTTTTACAAGATGTCAAACCTAACTTTAGTAAAAGAAAGTTTAGGAAGATTTGTATTTTAATTAGTCTATAAGATATTTTTGTATTCCAATAAGTCCAATTATTCGGACATTTTATCCACTAAATCTTAATTCTCATATTTAAGGTATTTTATTGACATTTTTATCCTTATAAATATTTTTTGAACGGTTAGCAATTTAGTGATGTGAATATTCATATTTTACAATGTAAATATTCAAATTGGCGTGTAAACATTCACATTGACACGTTGGCATTCACACTGATGGTGTAAACATTCACATCGACGGTGTGAACATTCACACTGTAAATGTGAATATTATTATTAGGGGTATTTGGTAACTATGTCACCCATAGGACTTATTGGAACATAAAAAAATAGGGCAAATTACATATACCTCCCTCAAGGTTTAGCTAAATTACAGATACCCTCTGAGGTTTCGAAAATTACATCCCGCCCTCTGAGGTTTGTGTTTTCATAATAATTTGCCCCCTGAAGTTTATATTTCATAACAAATTACCTCCTAATTTCTTATGCAAATATAGCATTCAGGGAGAAATTTGTAATTTCTCAAACCTCAGGGGGTATTTGTAATTTAGCAAAATCTCGAGGGAGCTATATGTAATTTGTCCAAAAAAATAATATGGACTAAATGGAACCTAAGTATGTGAAAATAGATTTATGAAAAATGCTTCAAAAGTTTAATCATATATAATTAAATTAAGGGGGAGGATCCCATCTATTCAGATTTTGGATTGGTGGGCGTTGTTTGGGTCCGTGGGATCCATCACAGATTTCGTTTCGATGATCTGATGCGTTCTCGAGCACTTTGTATATTTCGTTCACAAAAAAAAAAAAAAAAATTAAGTCGATCCGATAACTGTAATTTGTTCAATTTATTACGTTTGTCACAAAAAAATGTATGATTTATTTTTAAAAATATAATTATTGTCTATTTTTTTAGTGAAAAATTGGATAAGTTACAATTAGCAGACTGACTAAATTTTTTTTTGGATAAAATATATGAAATATTTAACAAAATAAACGATTTTGAATTATCAGAATAAAACTCGTAATGGGCTGAATTGAAGGGAAAGATGAATCATAAAATAGAGAGTAAAAATAGAAATCAATTTTTAGTTTTGGATTAAGTTATTTGAAAACTCAGTTTTTTGATTTTCATTTTTTTTTATTTTTAGTGAATATTTTTAAAATTTTAAACATTTTTATTACCTTTTTAGATGCACTTTACTTAGATGTATCTAAAAAGTAAAAAATTTGTGAAAAAATATTTTAAAAATTTAACAAATACATAAAAATATAAAAAATGTACTGAATTCTCGTATTTTTTTTTTTATACTTTTGGTATTTAGTGAATTTTAAAAAGTTTTTTTCACAATTTTTTTACTTTTTAGATATATTTATGTTAGGTATGTCTAAAAAGTTAAAAAAAAAATACTTAAAATATTAAAAAATTTCAATAAAAATAAAAAAATATGAAAAACAAAAGTATAGAATTTTTTAAAAAATATTTTTGAAAAATCACAACCAAACAAGCTGAATGGTATTAAAAAAAATTTCCATCCCACCTTACACGACTGTTTTTTTTTTGGTTTTTTTTTGGGTTCTTGATGAGGAAAGCGAGGTGGCTATGAGCTAGCTCTTGATTATATTTTCAAATCTCTTTAAATATATATAATTTGTTTTATTTTATTTAAATTTAATAAATTTAAAATACCAAAATATTATGAGATATAGTCATTTTCATTTTTTTATCTATCATTTATATTAACTCTTATCACTTATCAATCAACTGTCAATAATATATCATTTATATAGATAAATTACATTATGTGAGAATTACGTGATAATTTTTATTAATGAATTTAATACCAGAATAACGAAATGACACACATTACAACTTAATTAAATATGTAAAAAATTAACTATTATAATTGAAAATCAATGTGCTAAAGTGAAATTCAGTGTAATTTATAGAGGATAATTTACTCTATTTTTATTAAGAAATATATAGATTTAGATGGATAATTCATAATTGTATAGAGAGAGAGAGAGAGAGAGAGAGAGAAAGGATCAGTTCCAAGGAAGGAGGGTATGAGTTGGTGTGGGGTGGGGGGCAGTGAAGTAGGTCCAGAAGAGTAGGGAGTAATGTAATGAAAGAGGGTGGTGATGGGGTTAGGGGCTCCTCTGTATGACTCAGTGAATGAAGTTTTTTATTATTCTTCTTCTGTTGTGAATCTGATGACTCGTTCCAAGTCAAACCCAACGTACGCTATACTGGTTGGCTTCTTCACCCCAAGTTTGCCAACACTCCCACCCACCTATTAAAAAAGTTAAAATATCACATTTGACCTAGACCTGGTTTTGTTCAACCTTACCAATCTTACTTAAACTTGTGTTTCAGCCTTTGTTATGGATGAATCACTACAAAAAAATTTGTTTTTTGCGACGGTAACCGGCCGTCGCAAATGCTCCCGGAAGCCGTCGCTAATTCCTTTTGCGACGGTAATGTGTCTTTTTGCGACGGTAAGGGGGGGTCGCGACAGATGGGGTTGCAAAAGACCTTTTGCGACGGTATGTACCGTCACCATTAGTTTCTGCGACGGTAAGTGTGTTTTTTGCGACGGTTTTTTTCCCGTCGCAAATAATGGGGGGGAAAAATCACTTTTCGCGACGGCACGTAATTACCGTCTACATGATAGAAGCATTGGGGGTCTTTAAGAGCCTACGATAGTCATATTCTGATCGCAACAACTTTATCTCCATTGGCTATTCGCCAGATCGTACCGAAGAATGTAATGAACCCTTGATTGAATGAAGCAATTTCTTTTAGACAATTGTGTTCGAAAGTGAACGTGCTCGACGGATTTTGCAATATATTAAAGATCGTATCGCCATTGTAACACTTTGTCATCTAGAGAAAAATATTTCTCCGAGTTTTTTGATATTAAGGAGAACTTGCTATTACATCAGCGAGAAGCAGTTATTGGGTGGAGCGATTCAGTTTTCGATGGATGTATCCAATTTGAGAGGTATCTTCTTACTTTGAAGCAATACGTGCGTAATAGAGCTCGTCCTGAAGGATCAATTGCTAAAGGATATATCTTATGGAAGAATGCATGAATTTTTGTGCACAATATCTCAGTGATGTGGAAACCAAATCTAGTCGACCCGTGAGGAACTATAGCTGGTGCTGATAATTTGGGTCATGCTACTGGTGAATAACACCAGCTTTTATCTTGATAATACTTCTTGGGTACAAGCTCATCGGTACATCTTATTGCAATACAAGCGCGGTTCACATTCATAAAGTAGGTTAAGTCACTCACTCAATATTTTATTATGTTTTATTGAATTTTCAACTAAAATTTGTGATGGCTAAAATTTCAAATCTACACAGCAAACACTTGAAGTACTTAAGCTCAAAATGCCTCGTGTCGACGATCATCAACTTCGGCGTGAACATTTTGAACTTTTCACATTTGGTTCAAGGAACATGTATGTATTTAACTCTATAGATCTAGTTACTTAAGTCGATCTACACATTTAAATTTTACATTTCGTGTTAAATAGGTCCAAACTTTGCGAAGGACTACTGATGTCATACTTTCTGAAGAGATTATTCTATTGGCAAATGGTCCTCATAACCTGGCAAGGAGCGGGTTCAACGGGTATATACTGAATGGGTTTCCGGTATCGAGTAAAGGCCATGGATGATCGTCGAGCCACACAAAATGTTGGTGTAGCTTTGAAGGCAGATACCATAAGTTATGCTAGTCGAAAAGAGACAAGAATCCTCGTCTGGGGTCTGTGTACTATTATGGACAATTGACAGATATTGGTTGGATCGATATTCCAATAATGAAGAAACATGTGTTGTTTAAGTGTGATTGGATTGACAACATTTACGGAAAGAAAGAAGATGTCTTCAATTTCACGTTGGTGAACTTCAATCATTTGTTGTACCGAGATGATCGAATTACCAATGAACCTTTCATTCTGGCGTCCCAAGCAAAGCAAGTTTGGTATGTTGCAGACCCGTTACAACCAGACTGGCAAGTCGTGGTGAAGATGTCTCAAAGAGGTTTATTTGATATGAGTTCAACTGATCCCAAATCGAGCCATACATGAGCCACAATTGGAAGAAAATATTATGCTTCGTGATGAAGAAGTTGGTTGGGTGAGGGAAGCCGCAGAAGGGGAAACAAGTTGATGTTCAAATAGGTCTGATATGTATATCACATTAGTAATTCAATTAAGGCCAAGGTTGTAGTTAATCATCAATTTCTTAATTTACTTTGTCTTTGTAATTGCTATTAGTTCAAATCATGTAATACTTATAGTTGATGAACAAACCATTGTCTATGTTTCTAATGTCAATTAATGTTATATTGCTTGAAGATTATATGGGAAGGAAGAGGAAGCCTGATCATCCCCGGCGCATGATTGTCTGATGTGCTACATAACAGGACATCAGTAGCACCACCATTAGAGGGGCATCACATCGGCCAGCATCGGAGGGGCCATTAGTGCCACCACCATCTGAGGGGCCATTACCACCGTATCGACCACCATCAGTGGCACCACAGCAGCTACCATGTACTCGGCCTCACGCCTACCATCGGTGCGTCCACCATCAATGGCACCACAGAGCCTATTCATCATCAGCTTATGAGCCATCCGCAGGTATTTTAAATTTGCTTTGATTTGCTTGAAAATTATTTACACTACATTTATTTATGCTCATTTATATATAACTTGTTTATTCTCATTGTATTTTGCAACCCTTCGACTTCTTCACAGCCCACATCAGGTTTATTTGATATGATTTGTATTCACATTATTTTAAATTTGCATTTGGTTGTTACCATTGCATATTGTTTATTATTATTATATATCGAGGTCATGTTAGTTCTTCATCAACCTCGACTAGGCGTGGTAGAGGATGTGCCAAGGGCATTAAAGAGTGGGGTACTGGTAAAAAGCTGCACATACAATTTGATGGAAATTACTGCCCAATAGGGGATAACGTGGCCAAGTTAACTACTCAACTTGGCTTATTGTCCGGAATGGTAACATTGTTCCTCTTACTTTTGTTGACTGGAACAGTGTGCCTGATGATATTGTTGATGCTATCTGGAAGGATGTGAAGGTAAAGTATATTTTTGTCCACAAATTCGAATTCCAAATTTGTGTTATACTTAGCCTTAAACTTTGTGTTTTTATAGGACAATTTGAATATATGTCCAGAGGAGTACAAGCCAATCTGCATGAAAAACTGCAACAGCATATGGAGAGGATCACAAGAACAAGCTTAAGGCTAAGTATTTCAAGCCTAGAAGCTCTGATCCTAATCTGAAGGATGATGTTCCTATGAACGTTTTGCCAAGCAATGGAACAACTTGTAGAGTATTGGCGTACTTCCGATGCTGAGGTATACAATTACGTTATATTTATGATATGTAAACATACAAATCATATTTTACATACTTACATTTGTTGAACTTGTTATAGAAAATTGCAAGTAGGAACGCTAAAAATCGGCGAGCTCACGGCATAGCTCATACCACAGGCGTACTACTTTCTCTCAGATACGGCATGAGGTTTACATTTTATTGTTTTATTTTTCTATATAAATAAACATTGTATATTTGCAAATTATTTGGATTCTAATTTTCATATTTCTAAAAAAAAATTTAGATGACCAGTAAGGAGGAGTCTACTGATAAGATGAATGTTTGGCTTATGACACGTAGAGTAGATGACCCAGAGGTTATCCAGACCTTGGTAGTTTCCAAACAACTTTGATTGTATTTAAAGTTTATTTTTTGTGTGTCAACCATCTTAATTTCGCGTATACTTGTGTGTCTTATTCAATACAGGATGAGTTTAATCGTCAACTCTCTATGCTACCTGAGGATGGCGGACTTTGGAGGCTAGGAATGCCATTTTCCATGAGTTGATAGGTCATGACAGACATGGATATTTGTCGCACATACGGGAGAATCGTGCCTCGGAGAGTGGTGTATAAGGATGGTGCTGGGCCATCACAGCAACACCCCATCCATCGACTATTGATCAGATCACGCAGCAGGTTCGTGCTGAGCTAAGGGATGGTTGAGGGAGGAGCTGCGAGCAGAGTTCTCTACACATTGCAGCAGATGAGAGCTGAGATGATGGCCCTTGTGTCACAGGGGGGCAGTGTGGATCCCAACAGACAGGTTCCATATAAACATCAAACTGTTTGATAGTTCAATTTTCACTAAGATTATGTATGAAATTCGAATATGATTAACACATTATGTATTAAATAGGTTCCTGATGCATCGAGTGGCCACCGGCATTTAGGGAATCTGCAGAAGACGAGAATCCATATACACCACCACCAGAAGATCAGGTATAAAATTTATCTTTGCATTCTAAGCTAAAATGCATCTTTGCGTTCTTTACTTGAATTCGAGGCGTTAACATCCCAAAATCACCAAACGGCGTCGGTTTAGCACGAAACTTGGCACACACGACCGCCTAGGCACGAGAGACTTGTGGAGAAGACGGGGCTCGAATCGGGTTCCCGGTTTGGGAGTTAGATCGGATTTCACTTTAGGCAAACTACTTCTTTAAGAAACTTGAATTCGAGGCGTTAACGACCCAAATCACCAAACGGCGTCGGTTTAGCACGAAACTTGGCACACACGACCGCCTAGGCACGAGAGACTTGTGGGAGAAGACGGGGCTCGAATCGGGTTCCCGGTTTGGGAGTTAGAACCGGATTTCACTTTAGGCAAACTACTTCCTTAAGAAACTTGAATTCGAGGCGTTAACGCCCAAAATCACCAAACGGCGTCGGTTTAGCAGAAACTTGGCACACACGACCGCCTAGGACAGAGAACTTGGGAGAAGACGGGGCTCGAATCTGGTTCCCGGTTTGGGAGTTAGAGCCGGATTCACTTTAGGCAAACTACTTCCTTAAGAAACTTGAATTCGAGGCGTTAACGCCCCAAAATCACCAAACGGCGTCGGTTTAGCACGAAACTTGGACAAACGACCGCCTAGGCACGAGAGACTTGTGGAGAAGACGGGGCTCGAATCGGTTTCCGTTTGGGAGTTAGAGCCGGATTTCACTTTAGACAACTACTTCCTTAAGAAACTTGAATTCGAGGCGTTAACGCCCCAAAATCACCAAACGGCGTCGGTTTAGCACGAAACTTGGCACACACGACCGCCTAGGCACGAGAGACTTGTGGGAGAAGACGGGGCTCGAATCGGGTTCCCGGTTTGGGAGTTAGAGCCGGATTTCACTTTAGGCAAACTACTTCCTTAAGAAACTTGAATTCGAGGCGTTAACGTCCCAAAATCACCAAACGGCGTCGGTTTAGCACGAAACTTGGCACACACGACCGCCTAGGCACGAGAGACTTGTGGGAGAAGACGGGGCTCGAATCGGGTTCCCGGTTTGGGAGTTAGAGCCGGATTTCACTTTAGGCAAATTACTTCCTAAGAAACTTGAATTCGAGGAGTTAACGCCCCAAAATCACCAAACGGCGTCGGTTTAGCACGAAACTTGGCACACACGACGCCTAGGCACAGAGACTTGTGGAAGAAGACGGGCTCAATCGGGTTCCCGATTTGGGAGTTAGAGCCGGATTTCACTTTAGGCAAATTACTTCCTTAAGAAACTTGAATTCGAGGAGTTAACGCCCAAAATCACCATACGGCGTCGGTTTAGCACGAAACTTGGCACACACGACCGCCTAGGCACGAGGAACTTGTGGGAGAAGACGGGGCTCGAATCGGGTTCCCGGTTTGGGAGTTAGAGTCGGATTTCACTTTAGGCAAACTACTTCTTTAAGAAACTTGAATTCGAGGCGTTAACGCCCCAAAATCACCAAACGGCGTCGGTTTAGCACGAAACTTGGCACACACGACCGCCTAGGCACGAGAGACTTGTGGAGAAGACGGGGCTCGAATCGGGTTCCCGTTTGGGAGTTAGAGCCGAATTTCGGTCCAGTCAAAATTATTTACTAAACTATCTTTCTAATTATATAGTAGTCAATTTTTTTTTTATATTTTTCTATAATTAAAATATTAACACATTATATGGTTTTTAATTATTTTTATCTTGTTTTTTTCAGATATTTCCTGAGTAGCAGTTGGCTTTTTCTGGAATGCGGGCGTATCAAGATTATGACTAATTTTTGTTTTTGTAACCCACGAACGAAGAGACGAAAACTTTTGATTTTGATTATGATTTATGTTATTTAAATTTGGGAGCAACATTATGTATCTATTATGCGACGTTATGTAGTGGCATAATTTTATTGTTATGAATTTTTATTTATGTATTGCTATGAATGGAACAATATTATTAATTTTCATTATTTGTCAATTTTTGTTTATGTACGTATTTATATTATTCTGTAATTTTTCAATTTTTATACTTATTTTTTATCTAATACAGGTTATTTTAATTTTTTAATAATTTATCGCGAGGGTTTTTTTTTTTTTTTAATTTTTTGAGACGGGAGAAGAACCCGTCGCAAAAACCATTAATAGGCTTTTTGCGACGGTACCAACACAGTCGCAAAAGCTGTCTTGTTGAATGTACAGGACACCTTTAGCGACGGTAAATCATGCCGTCGCCAATACTTATAAGATGCCAGAGCCTTTAACGACAGGTAAGTTCCGTCTCAAAAACTCACTTTTAGC